TTGATAATTTCTGAAAGTAGTTTTTTATTCTGCTTCAGAAAATGGCAAAAAAATCGTGTTCCCTTAAAAAAAACTTAGACGGTCCTATCTGTCAAACCGAGAGCGATACAAAAAGGAAAAATGTTGTGTAATCAAGTCGCCATGTTTAAGAGTACATCCAAAGCAAATTTCCGAAAAAAAAATTCAAATAACAAAATTATATCTTACGCTGCAGTTCCTTTATGTAGTCATGGATTTACTTAGTCGTTTAATTGTTCGTAATCAAATATACGAGGGTGGGGTGACAAGTACCGGGCCTCACATAGATGTGGGAGTAATAAGATCAGTATAATGATGGCGTTCCATAATTTCATCTTCCATCAGCTTCCCTTAAAAATTTCATGTCAATATGTCGTTTAGTATTTGGATGGCAGTCCTTCAGATTAGATGCATCAAACAATTCTAACAAAATGGGGAAAGTGGAAATTCGGCCAGTGATTAATTTTTTTTTTTTTGAAAGGCCTAAAATCAAGTGAGATCAACAAAGAGTTGGATACAACATTGGGAGACTCCTCTCCATCGTATACAACAATTAAGTGATGGGTTGCTAAATTTAAAATGGGCCGAATCAGCACAAATAATAAACCACGCAGTGGGCGCCCTGTTGAGGTGATCCCTCCAGAAATTACAGAAAAAAATCATAAAATCATCTTGGCTGACCGGAGAGTGAAAGTGAGGGAGGTAGCAGAATCAATAAGGATCACAACAGAGTGTATTCGAAATATTTTACATGAATACTTATCAAAGAAAACGCTTTGCGCCAGGTGGGTGCCGCGTTTGCTCGCTCCAAACCAAAAACAGCGTCGTAAGGATGTTTCGGCTGATTGTTTGGCACACTACAGGCGTAACCCAAATGGATTTTTACGTCCATTCATTACTGTCAATGAAACATGGGTCCATCATTACATCCCTGAGACAAAACAGCAGTTGAGACAGTGGACCAAAAAAAGAGAACCACAGTTGCATCGGCCAGTAAGGTTATGGCCACCATCTTTTGCGAGGGGAATAATTGACTACCTCCAAAAGGGAAAAACAGTTAGTGGGGAATATTATGCCACTCTACTACAACGTTTACAATAGGAAATTAAAGAAAACGGCCAGATTTAGCGAAAAAAAAACGTGCTGTTTCATCAGCACAATGCCCCAGTCCATACTTCAGTCATTGCGATGGCTACAATTCATGAATTAAAATTTGAATTGCTCCCCCACCCTCCCTACAGACCCCATTTAGCCCCATGTGATTTCCACCTTTTCCAAAACCTCAAAAAAGTGGTTGGGTGGTAAGAGGTTAGCCTTGTAAATTCCACTTACATTCACCTGTCTAAAATATGAAATATTTTTGTTAAGGCTAGATATACTTGCCTGGGATCATGCACCGCTATTGTTATTAATATTGTTAATGATATTATGGCCATTAAAGGACTTAACCCAACAAATCAGCAAAAGCATTAACTATTTCTAAAGGAGAAGTTAACTCATTGTTGTCATAATTCATTATTGCTGGTACTCCAAACTTCTTTGTTTTGTTACTTCCCGAGCGTATAAGCTAAGCAAATATCGTCATCAAGTCCATCGGGCGACTGGTTATTTTCACATTTTCTCTATGTGTCATGACCCCAAGAATACAAAAACATAGGTCTCCCGTTTGCGTCTGTCTGTCTGTCTGCTCGTCTGTCCGTCTACACACCTGCCCGTTTTTCCGCCTGCCTGCCTGTCCGCCCGCATGTCTGTCTGTCCACCTATCTGTCTATCCGCCGTTTGTGTATTATGTATTCATATACGTGGTAAAACCCTGACTAAATTTTGTCTAATCATCCTCACCAACAATGTGATGACGTCACTCAAAACTGTACATAGTTTTAAATACGATGATTTTTAAATATTTGTAAAGCCCGAGGTGACTTAGTTTGTTTGTAATTTAACCAAGCTTTTTGCTTTTGTTTTAGGTATTCAGTAATTTCTGTGTTACAGGAAAGTTTCTAGAAGAACGCCTCTTAATTGGTACATAAGAATGGAAGATAGACTGCAGTTTTTACATCGCTGTTATCGAATCCAAAGAGGAAAAATCTAGCTCATATAATAATATAAAGATGGAACATCTGCTTTCTCAAAGTTTAGTTGTCCGCAATTTTAGTTTAGTACCTAATAATAATAATGAATAATTCTCAAGAAAATGCAACGTTGTCAGTTTGTAGCGATTTTATTTTGTGATCTATTTTCTACGAAATACTGTTCTTCAAGAAAATTTCAGTAATAGATCGGCATAGTAATTGGTTTTTCAACGTAGCAACCCTCTGATGCACAAATTTTCGAACACCTTCATTTAGACAGATTTCGGTATAGGTATACCATACCTATCATATGGCATCAGTTTTGCAGGTAATAAAAAATTAACGATATTGTTAAAACATAGAATTAAAATGTATAAATCAACCAAAAGGACAACGGTTCCTAGTTGTAACTTTCAATTTTCAATAACTTTAGTGCTTACCTAATTTTTCCGAAAGTAAAATTCAAATTTTGAAAGTGTAAAATCTGCACAACTGTAACTTTGGAAATATTGACTTTTTATTTAAAAATGATTTATCACAATATTCTTACCATGAACGTGTATAAACTACGTTCGAATGTTTATTGAATCATTGTTTACTGTAATAAATCATATTTTATAAAAAAAAAAATAAAAACTGTACAAGATGAAATCTAAGTTCATCTACTGAATTTCAATGGTTTACGTTTGATTTTAATGGAAGCGTTCGAAACTCCAGTAAAATCGTCATGATGTAATGAAGCTAAATGCGCTTATCCGTTAGGAAAACCAATCGAAAAGTAATGGAGGGTATAACGCCGAACATTGGATCGCCAAATCCGATTAATATGTTGATTGAAACTAATGATTGTGTCTTCATTGTCAGTCGTCGTGCGCCATTCGGTGCTGCCCTCGCGCGGCTTTATCGCATTATTGGAACGTGACTCGAAAAGCTCCTGCTGCTTTGTACACTTCTCTGTAACGCGAATTCAATTTCTATATCATGTGAAAAGTTTTAAGTTATTTAAGTTTCTCAAGTTGTTTAGGAACTCGTAGATCCGTGTATGTAAACGGACCATAGAGAAGAGACGAAGTTCGCCGGCATGATTTTACCGAAAATCGACAATTTGAGACCAAATTTTCCGCCCCAGTGAAAAGATATATTGCTAAGAATTACGTTTTAATTACATATCTGGACAGATGTTATCGAATAACACTTAGACAAAGTCCGTGTCGAGTCTAATAATTTCTCGTCACGTAATTTAGGAAAAATTGACTTTTTTGTGGCATCTTCGTAATATGTATTTTTATTGACTGTAAATAAGTTTTCCCATGTTTAGTTTCATAGACGTGAGCCTGCCCTGGGGTCCAACGTTATGTCACGTGTGTTCAGTAATAAATAACTCATGTAGGTTTATGGCTGGAAGGAGCTTAGACCAGCCAAATAAAAATAATGCAATAGCCATGTCAGGAGTTAAACGTACCATCGTCCCTATTACACATCCGGACGTGCTTCTTATGGTTCTTTTTATGTCTGAGGCGCTAAGTGAGTAAAATTCGTCTATAATGGACCTGTCAACAAATGACCGTTTACTAACACTTCTGCCAGGAAAAAACCCGCAGAAAATGTGGAAATGTAAAGCTCTTCCACCATAAAATCAGTAATATCTCTTTGTAAAATAAAAAAGCTTCAGATAAAACACCTTAATTTTGGAACATCATTAATCAATGTAAAGTAAAATGCCTAAAATCATTCATCTCGGGTCAGACAAGCATCTTCTCTGCTTTGATATATAATTACTATCCAATGATTTTTCCCAATATTCATGTTGTGGAGTTTGGTCTGCAATTGTTAAGATCATTTACAATGTCCTTGTGTAAAGATATCACTTTAGATATCTTTAGACAACCAGGAAATACTCTTAGTGATGCATTCGTTTATAAGCTTTGTAAATGGAACTGAAATAATAGTAAATTACCTACTGAGGTGGAAAGTGTTTCATTACAACCGAGACGGTTAATTTACCGAAGGGCGCATCCCCTAGGTGAACTATAGTCCGATGCTGTAGGAAACTTTCCGCCGAGGTATGTATACTATTTTATTCTCAATCACCTGAATAAATTTTGGGAAAATAAAAAAAAAAATACGTCACAATGTTTATGTTCATAAGTACAAGGAGGCTATGCATAACAATCAAGTTACCTCTGAACGCCTCTGAATAAAATTAGACTAACGTTTTGAAGATGAAAAAATCTGATCAAGAAATATCATTCTATTAAAAAATGTTTGATTCAGAGTCTTTAACTCCTCCTGAATTAAATGCAGCAAACGAAGTTCCGCAAAATCTGTTGCCACAAAAGAGCAAAAGTAGGTGGTACGAAAAGGCCTACAAAATGTACCTTCATATTTATCACAGTAAAGACAAGTGACAATACGAACATAACCTGTAATTGCAACGGACCAGCACATGTTCCACGTTAGTCTGCACTGATATAAGTCGTGCAATGCAATTAATTATGACATTTTTGGCATTGTTCTGTTTCTTAATAATCGATGCAATTATTGTCATTAATAGTTTATTAATAAAATTAAAAAATTAGACTCTTTCCTGCATGTCAAATCAAAAATGTCAAAAAATATGAGTCTGTTGAAGCTTGTTGAATTATTAAACGGTCGAACTCGGTGACCAACTACACTCAAAACAGCATTCATTCATTAGCCAGTACGCGGGATTTTATCTCACCGGTGCAATCCCCCAGTTGAAGTAAGGTGTGTTTTACAGCTAGTAAAAAAACTACTTCTACATTACTATATTACTTCAAATAATAATACTCGATGCCCTTTTTAATTTTTCAACCACAAAACCACAGATTTGTGATCTTGAAATGTTATGTTATGTTGATATAGTCCAAAAGAAAAATATATTTGTAATCAAACTATCGCCGCGACAGCACTGGATCTAGCGTATGAGATACAATTCCGCGCGTTGTTCATTACGGGATGTTTTTGTGCATATGGTATCTCTGCATTTCTGAGTCGTCCTCCAACTCTGAGCAAGCCATCAGTATGTAAAATGGGGTTTAAAGAAAGAAGATGACTTTTCTTGTCAAGATCCTCTTTCGCTCGTAGATCTGCTAATTCTCGCGGAAATGCTTCTTCTTGAGTCATAGCAAGTACTCGCAACTCAGATTCTTCCAATTCTTTCACTGTCAGCGGTCCATGAATAATCGCTTTTTTTACTTTTATGTTGATGAAACGACAACAATAAGCGATGACTCTTTGCAATTTTTTGTACGATGAAAATCGTCTCAGTATGTCATATTGATGAATTGTCAAGGTGCTGACTAATTTTCTTTCCGGTATTTCAATGCTCGGTAACCGTTGCTCTGGCCACTCGTCCAATGAATTGATCCAAGTGGGACCGTTCCACCAGTGTTCTAACATGAGCAGCTGTTCAACTGATACTCCTCTTGAGACGTAATCTGCAGGATTTTCTGCTGAGGGAACGTGGCGCCATTGATAATCTTGACTTAACTCTTGAGTTTCAGCAACTCTGTTAGCTACAAAGGTTTTGAGATTACTTGGTGCAGTTTGAATCCAATACAAAGTTACTGCTGAATCGCTCCAAAGATTAATTTCCACATTTTCGAGCTTTAGTGCAGTGACAACATTTGCGACCAATCTTGATAACAGTACAACTGCACACAGTTCTAACTTTGGAAGTGTTATGACTTTGAGAGGTGCGACTTTTGATTTCGAACAAAGAAGTGATGAGCTTGGTACATTGTTGTCATCCATGGTCGTGATGTAAATGCAGGCTCCGTAAGCTTTTTCGGATGCATCAGAAAATCCGTATATGACAATACCTTTATCCGGATTTCCCAGACGTACGTTAAGCTTCAACTGCAGTGTTTCTAATTGCTTCAGTGATTGAGAAAATGTTGTCCATTTACCTTTGAGTTCTTGAGGTAGATCTTCATCCCATCCTAATTTCTGCTTCCATAAATCTTGCATGATGAGTTTCGCTTTTATTAGAACAGGACTTAGAACTCCTAGAGGATCATAGATTGGAGCGATAGCTGACAAAATTTGTCGTTTTGATACTTGATCTGCTTCTGGTAAATTAATGCGAAACAGTAAAACATCCAGGTTGCTGTTCCACAACAGACCTAATGTTTTTGAAGATGCTTGTTCGTCGAGAATCAATAATGCATCGGTTTTTTCAGAATCTTTAATATGCTGAAGGATACGTTTATCGTTTGCTCTCCATTTTCTTAAACAGAACTTGCCTGATTCTGACAATGTGGATACTTGTTCTTGTAATTCGATGGCTTCTTGTAGTAAATTTGCCCCTGAGAGGAAATCGTCCATATAAAAATCGTCTTCCATGGCCTCAGCGGCTCTTGAAAATTCTGCTCGTGCTTCTAGGCTTATTTGTCTCAAACAACGCATTGCCAAAAATGGTGCATTTGCGGTGCCCTGTGTCACTGTATTTAATATAAATATCTGAATCGGATCGCCAGGATTTTTACGCCATAAAATTCTTTGCAGATTGCGGTCGAGTTTGGAAACATATATCTGTCTAAACATCTGCGCCACGTCACCAGTAATGATATATCTCCAAGTTCTAAATCTAAACAAGATTTGAACAAGGTCATTTTGTAAATTGGGACCTGGTAGAAGCATATCATTTAGTGAGGTGCCTAATGAAGTTTTCGCGGAGACATCAAACACAACTCTCAACTTTGTCGATACGCTTGATTCTCGTATGACTGGCTGGTGTGGAATGTAATAGACTTGATGAGTTGTTTCATCTTCTTCATCTTGAATTTGAGACATGTGTCCTTGGTTCTCATAATCTTGTAAAAGCTCTGTATATTCTTTCTTCAATTCAGCATTTTTCTCCAAACGTCGTTCCAATGATTTAAATCTTCTCAGGGCTTGCTCAAATGAATCGCCAAGTTTTACTTTGTCGTCTTTTGGGAGCTCTACTATAAATCTTCCTTCTCGATCCCTGGTATGCGTCTTAGAAAAGTGAATCTCACAAAAGTCTTGCTGTATTTGTTTCTTCTTCTGAGTGTGTACTTCTTCTATCTTCCAAAATTGCTCAAGTTTCTCGTCCAAATCTTCTGTCAAAAGGAGGCAATTCAAGGAAGTCGGTTGGCATGTTATGTGCAATTCACCACCGACTATCCATCCGAGTTTAGTTTCTTGAAAAGCAGGTTGCCTGTACTTCTGAATGTGGTTTCCACTTTCAAAATTGTCCAAAAAAGTCCTGCTTCTATAAGCATATCTATTCTTCCTGGTTTGTCAAATGTTGGGTCAGCTAAATCTATGCCTGGAGGGATAATTAGCTTCTTGAGATTTAGTTTCACTTGCGGCAAATTTTGTGTAATGTTTGGAATCACCAAACATTCCAACTTTGTTGTGAATCTTGACGTAGTGATTTCAGTGTAAGTTCTGCGGATTTTTGAATATTGTGATTGGCTTCGTTGAGACCTGCTACTGGAAGCTTACGAGACTTGCCCTTGATTTTTAATCTCTTCATAAATTTTTCAGTTAATAGGTTGACCTGAGAACCAGAATCCAAAGAGCTCTGCATATATGTTGATTGCCTTCATTATCACTCACGTAGACTTGAACAGTTGATAAAAGAATCTTGTTTATTTCTTTGGGAGCGCAGTGAGTCGACACAGGAAGATCACGTTGAATTTGTAAATTCATCGGAGAACCTTCATTATGTGGAACTTCTGTCTTATTTCTTTCTTTGCGCAGTAGTGTATTGTGTTTCAATCCACACTTCTTGCATAATTGTGATCTGCAATCCTTGCCAAAATGCCCTGGTCTCAAACAGTTTACGCATAGCTTCAATCTAACAATTTCGTGGTTAATAAGTTCTGGTGTTAACTTTAGAAATTGTTCACACTGGTATATGTTGTGCTGACCAGAACCACATGCACACTTTAAAGTAGGGTTCCCGTTCTCCTTCGTACCTGTTGTTGTTGTGGTGAGAGTTACCCTTTTCTCCTTCTTGTTGTTTGTTGCTTGTGAATGTTCTTGTCCTGATTTGCCACGATACGATATCTCCATCATCATGTATCTTTTCTCCAAAAACTTCATAAACTTGTCCAATGTTGGCTGTTGTGCTTCTTCTTCGTAATCAACTTCTTTTTCCCATTCGTCTCTTAGCTGTCGATCAAGCTTGTTATTAATCAGATAAATAATGATGGTATCCCAGTTGTCTGTAGGTTCACCCAGTGTCTTGAGCGAACGCAAATGAGTTCTCGTTTTGTCAATAACATTCCTGAGAACACCTGGATTTACTTTTGATACAACTGGAAGATCGAACAGACCCTTGAGATGTAGCTTGAAGTAGCTTCCATGCTTCATCGTAGTTATCATTTGTTGCTTCTAACGATGATATTATATTTAAAGCGTCGCCTTTCAGTAGACCTTTGAGAATTTGAAACTTTTGTACTTTCGGGATATCCTGTTGATTATGAACTGATTTTACATATGAATCTTTGAAAGAGAGCCATTGATCATATTCTCCAGAAAATGGATGAATAGAAATGGTAGGTAGTTTTACTTTGACACTGGTGGCTGGAGCTTGAATGGTATTATTCATCTGTTGTTGAATTGCAAATTCCTTTAACATTTGTTTTGCTCTCGACATGACTTCGTAATAAATCTTCTCATAACCTTCAAAATCTTCTATATGTTTCTGTACAGCTTCTTCAGTTTCCAACAAACATTCTATTTCCACACTCGAGTTTTCAAATTTTTCCCACACGATTGTTATTCTTTCGCATCTTTCATTTAGTCTGTTTCAATTACACTTGCTCGATCGACAAAGTCAACAAAGGATTTCAACTGCCTTTTCAAAGCGCCCCGTTTCACATTCAAAGATTTTAATTCTGCCATTATGTATTTTTTAATAAACAAATATTAACTTAAATTGATCAATTGTAGCAATATTTAAACATAAATTTACTATATTGCGTTTTAATTAACAAGTTGAGGTTAGAAAACTTTAAATAATTGAGATTCCAAAACTTTATGCAAAATGATTGAGATTATTGAGGTTAGAAACTTAATGATTGTGATAACAACTCTTTATGTAAGGATTGAGGTTAGGAAATCTAATAATTTGCCACTTAGCTGATTCGCGATGTCCCTCGATGTTCCTTGATGCCCCACGCTGCCCCACGCCGCTGGAGACTGCTTGGCGCTTCGTGGAGGCCTCGTGTTGTCCAGCTACGAAGAACCTTCTCGCACTTTTCTGTTTTTCTTTGAAAATGGCGTCGATCGTAGAAACTTCTTCTTGCTTGTGTTGTGATGATTTTTGCTTTTTCTTACTTCTTATGAAATCCGGCTCGAAGGACCATTATGTTGTGGGGTTGTGGAATGATCGTTAACTTGATTTTTTACAATCGATTGTATTTTATTCTACATTATACGAGTTTTACAAAACGGTACGTTCTCGTTGTTCTGTGACAGTCTTTCTTCGTGATGTTCTTGATGCTAGTCTCCCCACGCCACGCACTTCCCATTGCGCGGCAAAGTTTAAAATTAAATCTTAAACTAACCAAACTGAATGCACCTTTTGACGACGTTCCACGTTCATGAAAGTATCCATGTTTAGTCAAAATTCACTCTTACAACGATCCTACTCGTTTTCTAAGCTGCTTTACAGACAGCTTAGTCATTTGTCACGCCGATGCTCATTTTTAGATTAAATGCTCACAAAACACGTAGATGTTCAATTTGTGTCCGGGGAGATACAATGTTTCCAAGTAGGTACTCAGTACATAGAGTAGATACTCAGGTGTATAAGAGTAATACTAAAGTAGGTACTTCGTACTTCGAATATGAGTATCTACTCAGTTTTATTCATACCACCCAATGTCTCGTTTCAATGTTTGATTATGTTGATTATGAGCACAACGCTGATCAACTTCCATATCCGAATTACCCATGAAATAAATCATTGCGGATTGACTTCGTGGACCAATGTCAACTTGTCGTCTTCTCGGCATTGTAATCAACTTCATAAAACGACACAGAATTATTTTCACAGTCAATCAAATCTGTAAATTTTGTCTTGAGAATTTTAAAATATTGAAAACTTCAAATTAAATCCTCGAATAACGGTAAAGGTTGAGGTTTTGTCGAAACCAACAAAGTGAACATAGGTAAATAGAATGGCAGTTCAAAATTAATAAGAAACTTTCGCAATGCGTAACTAAATTCACTTTAACGAACACTTTTCTTAAAATAAACGATGTTTTTTTTTACGAAAAAACAAAGAACGATTTGAAATGCAATAATACTTTTCACAATCGCACAGAAGAAATAGTTTTGTATGACACGTCAGTTAGGCGACAGGTCCGTCAGGAACGCCAACTATTCAAATTAATTCGAAGTGGCGATTCCCATACAAAATTTTTATTTTTTTTTTATCTTTTAGCTGTCTTATTTTTATAAATTTTCTTACATATAAACCTTCTCTTGACAATAAGGAACACGTAAAAAATAGATTCATCCAATTCGGTGCAGTCGTTCTGAAGTTATGCGCCTACATACATTTCGGCGATTCATTTTTATTAATATAGATATAAATAGATATGTTAGTAAAAAAAATGTTCTTTATCTTTGGGCATACAAAATTTGAGCCAATTCATTTCTGCGTTAAATTCCTTGAATTGGATTGTGGTTTTCGTGTTCTACAATTTCATCATCTTCTTCAATCTTCTTTTAATCAGGAAAGTCGTTTACATCATTTACAAATTTAGAAACGTTATGCAGAACAAAACAAGAAACTATCAATTTTGGTATTCTAGACAAACGAACCCTAATATCATTCATCAAAATTGGAAATCGTTTTTTCACTTGACCGAAACATCTTTCGATAATCACTCTGTTTCTTTTGTGCATGTTATTAAAGTGTATTTCAACCTGGTTTCTTGGGTTTCTGTAGGGAGTTATTAACCAAGGAGCAACGGCATAACCCGAGTCACCTAAGAGGATGGCTTGTCCTTGATATCTCGAAATAATGGGTAATACTGAAGAATTTCTCCAAATTCTACTATCATGCACAGAACCTGGCCACGTGGCATCCACACTTGTAAACCATTCTCTGCTATTACCTACATGTAGCTTGTGCGTTTATTGGAGCAAACTGCTTCCTGCATATGTATTCATCTCCATGTTCTAAAGGTTTTTTAATTTTAATCTGAGTGCAATCTAGAGCGCCAATAACAAAAGGAAAATTAAATGCTTCTTGCCATTGGTGTCTAGCTGCGTCGATTTCAGCCTGTTCTGCTAGAAATTGAATCCACTGATTTACCTTTTCGTAGATTTTTTCACTAACAAATTTTACGGTTCTGGAGACTGAACTTTGATGGGTACCACTGTCCTCACCAACACCAACTTGAAAAACAGGATCACCGACATACCTTAAAAATATTTGTATTTTTTGTTTTGGTGTCAAAGCACCTCCCCTTCGTTCATTGTTTTCGCCCAAAAACACATCGGCTAGGTACTCTACGTTGTCTTCTTCAAATCGGTACATAGCTTTATAAGTAGAAGCACCAGCTTGCCTTCTAGCCTTATAAATTTTTCGTCGCCGAATGGGCAGCATGAATTGAGCCATTCTGAACTTTATTCACGTCAATCAATTCACGACTCATGATAATTTGATTTAATTCCTCTTAGAACAAATAAAACAGTAACTGTTAAAATAAGATCGCTTTTGGCAAATGGCGGGGCTGGTACCTGCTAAGATAAGAGTGATTTTGGCAAATGTGATACCCTCTAAGAAAAGAGAGAGAGGGTGGACGGTACAAATACCTGCTAAAATAAAATTGATTTTGGCAAATGAGATACCTTCTAAGAAAAGAGAGGCCGGGTGACCGGGACTAATACCTGCTAATTAGACCGATTTTGGCAAATGACATAACCTCTAAGAAAAGAGAGGCCGAGGAGGTGGGGCTAGTACCTGTTAAGATAAGACTGCTTTTCACAAATGACGTATTCTATAAGATATTTAATTAAATTATTTAAAAAAAAAAACACTAGGGGCTCCAAAGCATTTTCAAATTCTTTCGAAACAGGAATACCTAGAACTTCAAGATTGTTTTAAATTTTTGAAAAAAAAAACAGGCTCCCAAAATTTACTCAAAAACAGGTCAGGTCAGAATTTTCCAAAAATAGAACACCAAAGTCACCCAAAATTGTTTTCAAGCATCTCATACACCAGCTTGAAAAAAAATTAAGTTTTAACTTGTGAAATGAAGTAGATACTATTTATTATGCATATTGATCTGAGTATTTACTGGAAAATTTAGTAAATGCTGGAAAAATTTTAACCTAGCTAGCATGTAGTATATACTTTTTAGTTTAAACTAATTTTTATGCATATAAACACTAGTACATACTTAAAATTTTCAGTATTAAGTATTTACTAATTTTTATGCATATCTCTCATTGTAGTCTTATACCTTATTGTCATTATGATTGACAGATCGTTTGAAATTCCGTGTCACAAACTGTACAACATAATTTTGGACAAAAATAAATTTAAAATGTATACCATATTTTCGGACGGAGGGAGCATAATTTTTAATTCGTCAAGTTTTTTGTTAAATTATTTGACGCAAATACGCTAAATTTTGAGATAAAATTCGCTAAAAAATTGATTAAAATTTGCTGTACGCTGCTGATTTACGTCAATTTGTCGGTGGTTAAGTAACACTTGCGGTGGGCTAATTTTCCTTTGGAGGGAAAAAATAACAATCGTTGCTAAGCAACAGGAAGATTCACGTGAAAATTTTTTGACGTTTTTCGCAAAAAATTGCTTTTAAAGAGGTTTTCCTAAAAAATGCAACGTTATACAAATGCCGAAATGACCGAGATGGTCTTAATGTACGATGTCTCTACGGTGAAGCTTTCCCCGGTCGGAATTTACCAGATCACAGAGCTTTCAATGCCGTTGTTCAGCGTTTCCGAGAACATGGAGGATTTCGTCCCCTTTCGTCGGACTGGGGTCCCCAAAAAAGCAACCAAACACTAAATACAGACCTCGAAATTTTAATTGTCGTAGAGGAAAATCCAGGCATAAGCGTTCGAAGACTTTTTTGTAATTTAGAGGAGAAACGGAAAAAGTCCACACTTTATTGAAAAATTATTTTCAACAGATGAGGCACCATTTTCCAGAGATGGTATTTTCATTTCCCACAACACCCATGTTTGGTCAGACGAGAATCCCCACGCAATTCAAAAAACGCACTTTCAGGATCGCACAGTGTCAACGTTTGGGCAGGTATGGTTGGAAACCACCCAATAGGTCTATACATTTTACCGCCCCGATTAACAACCGCTGCTTATTTAGACTTTTTCATTAATATCTTGGGCAATCTTTTAGAGAATGTATCACTAGGTACTCGCCGTGATATGAAATGTGATATTTCCACGACGAGGATACTGCTCATTATGCCCATCAAGTGCGTGTGTGGTTTAACGGCGACTTCCCAAGACGGTGGATAGGCAGATTGGACCAGTGTTATGGCTTCCTCGGTCTCCCGACCTTAAGCACACCCCGTTGGACACAGTTGAACAGCTAAAAAATCGTATTGGGGAAATTGCAGCAAACATTGGAGCTAATCCTAATATGATATTTAGGACGCAACAATCACTGATTCGGCGTTTATTAGAAAGGTGGGACGTCATTTCGCACATTTATTGTAATAGACTAATAGACAATGTCAATTTTACCTCACGAGTTTTAACTGTTTTTTGAAAAATAAAAAACCTTTTTTAAGTCTTAATATTTACAAATTTTTAACCTACTAGAAAATAGAATTAAGTAGAGTAAATGGGCAACAATAAGAGTCTCATTCATTTACCCCCACCAAAACAATACAAGAATAAACTTCTTTATCTTTATTAAGCACTTTTACAACTTATCTTTCACTGAATTTGGTCAATGAAGGGTTTTCTCAGATGTGTATCCCATACGCCGATTCCCCCAAAAAACTCTGTGCCATTTAAGACTGCTACCTTAAATACCTACATTTTAGCAATTATTAGATAAACCCACAGTGACACATGGTAATTCACATTGTACAATAGTCAAATATTCTCCTTGAGTCTTAACTTATAGACTTTCGTTTGTTTTGCTAATCTCTCTTCCAAAGGACTTGACAGACAAGAAATAAATTTTGACTTTTTACTTTTACTTTTACTAATTAATATTTGTCAATGGCGCAGAAAAAAAAGTATCCTAAATTTAACTACATATTGCATTCTACCAGATTTCTCTTCAAAAATATTTTAAAATTTTGGAAAAATCAAAACTAAAATAATGTATATATTATAACAAAACAAACTACAGGAATATTTATAGCAGATCAAAGTAAATCCATTACATATATTGCATTTTAAGGCATACTCGTATTTTATAATCAAAATTGCTCTCTAAGAAACTTGAGTACCCGTAAACAAGCCCATCAATAGTCCAGTAAATTCGACGTTAAAAAATCAGCAACCGTGCGTTTTGGGTAGGCAACCAAAGTGTGACAAAGACAATTCGGCCAGCATCTTGAAAAGAAACAGGGTGCAATTAGCTTTTTCATTTATGTCGGTAACTGTGGATCTAACAAAAAATGTATAAAGAAAATTTTTGTAAACAGTATAATTATCCATAACTTTCTTCTGTAACTTTTTGATTTAGCATTTAACAATGACAAAGTTATGGATAAAAAAACGTGAAAAATTAGGGAATAAAAACCAAATGTGACGATGCGGAAGCTGGTCCTTCAAAAAGAAGGAGATGTATATAATGTAGCAAAAGTAATGGAATTTTGTTCCATAGAAGACATTGTTTTGTTGGATGTCACTTGTGGATGGACTTGGTACAGGAAGTAGTTCAAATGATTTATCATTATCGTTATTATCCTGATTTGGTCGCTCTTCTTGTTGATCAACAGTTGATTTTGATTAACGATTTTTTTAGTACTTCAACTTTAAAAGGGCTGAGGGCATAAACGAAAAAATGTTGATTAAAGATTTACCATGCTTACGATAAACTTAAATCATTTGGAAAATTTCAGAGCATTCGATTTTGCACTTTCGAAGTTAATTTGCAAAATGTTGTTATACAATTTTGCTTTTTCTCTAAAAATCTGGATGTCTAGGGTAAAAAGTCAACACGGATTCATAAACTACAATTGCAGGAGTACCTTATTTTATAAATTTTAAATAACATTTACTAAGGTACCTAAATTTTGGAGATGACGTCATCCTATTGTTGATGCAGATGATTAGCCAAATTTTGGTTGGCGTTTTACCATCTACCCCATATTTCTAATATAGACATATATAAAATGTAACAAGAATCGGTCAAGTAGTTTATCTGTCTGATAAAAATTCGGACAGACAATAGACAGACAGACAGACAGACAGACAGACAGACAGACAGACAGACGGAAACTGGGTCTTATATTTTCATAATTTAGGGGTCATGAAACGTCGAGAAAACATAAAAGTGACAAGTCATCCAATGAACCATGGTTGCAGAAAACAAAATAGCCCATTTTAATCTGCCCATATAAGTTTTAAATGTTTTGTTATTATTTTACGTCATTATTTTGAACTTTTAGAAGTTAAGTATTGGTATCAGTAAATGAATTCTATAGTGACCACTTAAACTACCAAAAAGTAATTAGTTTGACATCTTTGATAACAAAGTTTTATTTTAATCCATCAACACAGAAAAAAGAGGGATAAAGGTTTCGTTAACGTTCAGTATGTTTTATCTAAATTAGAGTTGTGTGTTACGAGTATAAATAACAAATCAATTTATTTTACATTTATTTGTGCCACTAAAAATATGAAATCTGCAAAACAATATACAGGGTGTTGAAAAAATGCCGCACCAACTCAGCGGTACATTATTAAGTACAGAAGTTTAAGTTCGAAAAAAATCATTAAACAATTCCTTACGTCAATTTAACGTTCATGTATAAAAACAAAATATCGATTTAGATATATATAGATCAAAAACACTCGTCAGATTCATCCTAAACAATCTTTAATAAGTTTCTTGTAATATTATAAAATTAAGAAAACGATAGATACAGACAAGATACCTTCAAAATTATTTTAAATAATAAAAGTCGGATCGATTTCAGGTACCCAGACCAAAATAGTGAATTACATAATAATATGGTGAAATTTCGAAAAGAAAAATTAACCTTTGAGGGAAACATTTAGACAAAAAAATTGTTTAAGTTATTTGTTCTTTACTCCATAAACGATTCTGAATAACGTGTCATACAGTTGGTGCGCAACACCCTGTATTTAAGGTACTAATTGTTTTTATCGGAAACAAAAATGACTATATTATTAATACATTTTCTTGTAATTGAACGTGAACTGGTAGGAAAGTAAATAAACAAATAAATAAATAAATAAATAAATAAATAAATAAATAAATAAATAAATAAATAAACAAATAAACAAATAAATAAATAAATAAATAAATAAACAAATAAATAAACAAATAAATAAATAAATAAATAAATACTTAAATAAATAAAGAAAACTACATCCATGGAACAGGTTGCCTTCATTGATTGGATAAATTTAAGCCGTTCATCAACTTCAGAAGTTCAACGTTACAACTCTTTTATTAACCATTCCTTTGTTTACTATTATTTGAAAACAGCCTTATTTTTGTGCGTGGTTAAAAATTTATATTTAAAAAAAAAATACAACTAGAAAATTCCGTTTTAATAGTTCTCACACACAATAAATTATTAATTTTACGTCTCCCAATAGACTACTTTGTAGGTTCTGTGTTATATTATACACACACGAGTAGTTTCGGTAATTTTAGAATCAGATGAATGTACATTCATCGTGTGCAAAAACCAATGCTGTACTGTAGGATACAAGAATTATTCGAGTTTGTTAGGTATACATATTTCCTCAATCAGGTAATAAATAATAAAAGGAAGTACCATGGGGTATTAAGAGTAAAGTATTAAGTAGATACATGTTTTTTATATGCGAAAGTTGGCAATCAAGAAATCTCAAGTGTCCGTCTTCCCATTTATATGCAGATCCAGACACATTCTGATTCGAGACATCTCAAAGTAAGACGCAAGATTTATTAATTTGCATATTCGTCTGTTGAACTCAGAGTTGTTTGAAGTCTACCACGACGTTCCTTAAATTATTCATAACATTGTCACCCCGTGTATCTAAAGTATAACTATCCCTTTCCATTAATAGCTTTCCCCGATTCGAAGCTACTGATAACTAATTACAAACTCAATACCCCAAACAGATATGAGATGTTATTGCAGTGAACAGCGAATTACTATTACACAAGCAAATCAATAAACACTTTTCAACTTTTTATTTTGAGCGTTTGATCCTAAAAAACTTCCAGTTTAGCAAAGATTTATTATCTAGTCGATTTTCTACCAGCTAATATAGTTATATTTTTATGTAACAAATGGTTTCTGTCGGAAGGTTACTATTGGAACAAGTTGATAAATCATAGTCATTATTAAAAACCAGAGATAAATAGCAGCAATAACACCACAGAGGGAACAATGCACTTGACAATACCTCAATACCGACAAGTAGTCACTAAAATAAAGCACTTTGATGGGAAATACTTGTTTATTCAACATCGAATTTTGAATAAGTCGTTTGTTACATTTACGGATAAAAGAGCTTAAATTTTAATGAAGATCATTTTTACACATTTAAGTCTTCTTTTTCACGTGAGTATTAGTATTATTATAATATTTAGAGTAATTCGGACGGTTCCTAAATTTCACAGGCAAGTTACTCTTGTTCTTCAAATTTTCCATAAACTTAAATAAGGAAATTTGACTATCCGTCATGTCATAACCATTTGTCAGGTTTGCATCTTCCTCCTTACTTTTCCTCTCGTTTCCTAGGTAATCCAGTAAACTCTCATCATCCAAACTTTTATCATCGTCACCATCTTGGCCAACCAACTTTTCGAAAATCGTAGCCACATCACCATTTAAATTGTAACCATTGTCGTCACAATATCCATTAATTTTCACACCATTTTTCACTCCGTTATTCTTTTTGATGCCGTTCTGTCTCTGGAAGCCGTTCTTTTTGCAGATCGTATTAAGCATGTCCACAGGAGTAGAATTCTTCGTCTGTTGCCGGCGCGCCTTCTCGGATATATCTACCTTTGTTACAGGTTGCGTTTGTATTTCGCTGGCTCCGTTAAACGCGTTGAGTTTCCGTTTCAGCTCTTCGTTAATTCTTTCGGTTTCCTTCCTTCTGGTAATTTCTTCGTGCAGTAAGGTGGTTAATTCCATCACCTTCTTTTCGATGCTCACTTCGCCGTGTCTCTTCTTAGTGGGAATGTTTTCCGACGTTTTTGTTCTTCTTACAGGCTTAGAACTCATGCTAATTTTAGAACCGTAGTTCCTCAGAGGCGCTGATTTGGATTTATGAACGGTTGGGATTTTAGCTGAGGTAAAACTTGTCATTGTCTCCATGGCAGAATCGCAGGTTAACGCAAAACTTGTGCTGCACCACTGGTACTCAGAATTGAGATCCATGTGTTTTTGTCTGAGAATTTCTAAAATTTTTTCTATCGTTGCGACGGACAAATCGTCATTTAACCTAAAATCGACAATTTCCAACGACTGACTGTACTCGATGAGATCGATTATTCTTGTTGACATGCGTTCGGTTATTCCGCATTTCTGCATGTCCAGCGCTTTGATCCATAAATCATCGTCCAACTCGTTCAGGATCAAGTCAAGACCATTATCCCCGATCATGGGGTTGCCATTTAATGTTATCCTTTTAAGACCCCGCATCACCTGAATATTAGGGTCTGAATACCTCAGTGAATTGTGCCAGCTCTCACAGTATCTGTTGATTTGTTGGTATTTAATTAGTTTGGCCAAATATTCACCACTCTCGGCAGTTAAAGCGCACCCGCTTAGGTTTAGGACTTCAATGTTTGGGGCAAACCTTACGTATGCGCAAACAATTTGACATCCAGCATCCGAGATTCGACAACGGCTCAATATCAGATTCTTTAAGGTTTTATTCTTCTGTAACGCCTTCATTAAAGGTTCCAAATACTGGGCAAACATTGGCAATCCGTCGAACTCCAGGCATGTGAGGACTTGAGTATTCCGAACGGTGCATGACAGCGATTTGAGCAAAGATTTCAATATGAAGGCCGTCCATAACGAACCAGAGCGCCTCTTCATTTGCCGTAGCTTCTCCTCAGTGTCGACGTCATGCAAGAACTGACAGTTTCCTAATCTACTTTTTATGGCAATCACGTGCAGACTGGTATCATGCCTCAGCGCGTTTATTACTGGACTCCACTCCTCAACCTTCAGACGGTCAGCCAAGAAGTTGAGGACTGTTTGACTTTTAGGCTTCGCAGGTTTCACTACCGGCGCGGGAGTACTGTTTATCCGCCGACAGAGTTCTGTGTACCATACATAAAAAATATTCACCGGTTTCTGGTTATTGATAATTGCAGGATTTCTCTGATATGGCATTTTATGGTCAAATCTTCAGTTTAATTTGGGATGATAGGAGTTGGTTCAACAAAAATCAACATGAATGAACGATTTTATAAACTTGACAAATAACAAAATAAGTGATTGACATTTATAAGTTACTTTTTTGACAATGCTTGCGCAGATTACTAGGGTCAAATCTGATAAAACAAGGAGTTCACCTTTTATAAAATTTAAATGATAGCTTCCTCGCAGTGACATCTTTTTTCGTCGAGAAAAAAAATACAGTTTAAAATATTGTTCAACGTAATTTTATAAAATTTCATTTTCGACTAAAGTTGGCGAAAAACACCATCTGTTCTAACATTCGTTTTGACAACATTAAGCAGATCCGGTCTTCAACTAAAATTCTTAATGGAAAAGAAAAAAAAATCGTACCCTGACGTGGAAATCATATCTCGGCCAGAATCAACCTGATTTTTATGTAAAATAAAGTAGAATCTGTTATACAAAAAAGTTTTACAAAAAATGCCAAGGCATAAAAAAAATTAACAACAGTTAAAATGATTTTACTCCTTTATTCATCACAATAATTCAGCAAGACATTTAAGGCATTAACATTTTCAATACATAATTATCAAAAAAAATCGAAAAAAAATTTGTATGTAAACTACACCCTTATTTATTTATTTTTTTTATTTGAGGTAATTTGTGAAAGGTTATTTACAAGTAAGTAGTCATATATGAAACATGAATAGAAAATTAACACAACAGAAAAAAATACAATACAAGGAAAAATACTTGCTAAAACCATAAACTAAATATCCTTATTGAGAACAATTTTCACAACTTTTAGGCATTAAATTCATGATCAACTTTTAGTGGAGACAAAAAAAAAACGACCACCCTGCAATATTTCGCGCAAAATCACTTAAAATTGTTAATTTAACTAGTGATTGTTATTTTATTAAAGGACTATTCACTGCTATGTACTAATTATCTACAAAAAAGAGACAAATAAAAACAAAATTGAATTTAATTTAATGAAGTAACAGAAACAATGTGAAATTTCGAGGTAGCCAGTTTTTTGTCGGTGAGTATATATCAGTTTTGATGCATACACAGAGTGTAATAGTACTATGTTTCTTATAATTCTTTTTTCATTTAATAAATGATAGAAAGGAAAAGAGTTTTTAAAGAACAGTAATTTTATGAGTACCAGCTCTTCTATTTTAGCCTCACCAAAAAGTTAATTGATGTTATCTTAAATGAAATCAAATTCAAGCAGCACGGCTAAGAAAATATTATAACAGGGTCCATTTGATGAATAGCTAATGTCATGGTGTATCGATATTTCATAGCTTGTAAAATCTCAGAACGTATACCTATACTATACATGGTAAAACGCTAACTAAAATTTATCTGCACATCCCTGCTGGAAATACGACGTCAAAATTTTGCAGTAACTCCTATCTAAAATGTAAAAAAATGTATTAATATGTTTCCATATCTGTGATTTATTATTTTAGTATTATTTTTAACTTTGGGCTTGTCGATTTCTGTAAAAAAATGAAGATAGTTTAACAAAATTTTACCATTTATCTTTGAAACTGCATCACTATTTTTTCCAAAAATTTGATGACGTCGTCTCAAAATTTTGCGAAAGGTAATGTAATATTTACAACTAGCCCTCTTCGTCTCATGGATAGAAAAGGGTGTACTTTACTATTTTCTAATAATGTAACATATCGGATAAAAGATATTATCAAAGGATTCCTACTTTTATTATAAATCCTTCATATAGAAAAGTATAATGTGTTCATTAATTTAACGTTACAAATATGTAACGTTAAATTAACATACACATAAGTCTGTTTTAGGTCTTTCTGCATCTACATTCAATCTTAGAATGGAACTTTTAACAAACAATGTGGCGTAAAAACCAAAAGTGTTGAAACTAGAACTAACAAATCGATATACGTGCTGGAGCGCCATCTATTCCTTATGCTAGGAAACTACGTGTTCAGAAACTGTACGGAAGAGGGCTCTATACGTATCAAATTCAAATATTCGATACAGTCGTGTTACAGTTTCATTATGGCGTTCAAAATTATTAAACCGATGCATAGTGACGATGAAAACTGTTTTAAAAAATATATACAGACTTATTTACGAGCTTTTCACTTAAAAAAAATCAAAATGCAACCAACAATACACTACCATACAAATGTTTGATATTGATTACCCTTATTGTTTTAACTAAAACATTGTTAGCTGTTTTGTTTTATATTTTTTTGAAATAAATGTCAATTTTTAGTTAAAATCAAAAACAAACTAATTCAAAACAAAATCTCGTAAGGGTGTTTCCTAAACGGATACAGATAGCATTCTCTTTACAAACATTACAAACATTAATTAGGTCGTGATGGTGGTTCCATACATAAAAATACAGGTAAGAGGTCCACGAATAGTGTTTTGTGATTTTACTAAACTATTCAATTATCTGTTTACCGAAACTCTCATATTTTAAATATCATTATTTTCTATATTGTAGCCTTCAGTATATCCATCGTTAAATATAATCCTGAAGGGTAATAAATCTGAGGTCCATTAATACTAAGCAATGGCAACATGGTATTTTAAATATCATAAACCATTATTTAGTAAATCTTCAGATTTTTAAACCGGTGTTGTGACCGAATTTAAATCAAAATTTTCGCGCTGAAATTAATTAACAGCGGCGCGAAATCACACTTGAATAATTTGAATTAAAAAAAAAATCCAATCACGAAAAGGAAATCGTTAAACATAGGCAACCAAATATGCACGTAGCGCTTAGGGGTAGATTTGCATGGTTATTGAGTTAGATGACGGCTTGGTATCGCTAGGGAGTTTTTAGTTACAGGGTTGGTTGGTTGTTAGAGAGAGAAACTGCACGGCGTAGATTCATTATGAATGTGCTTGTGTGAGTGTAAACACGTGGTAAGCGCTAGGTTTAAATTAGTTGGTTTGGTAGTTAATAAAATGGGAAGAAGCCCTTGTTTAACGACAATCAATCGTAACTTTCATAATGACAGTTGTCCCCAACCCGCGCGGTTAATTCTTGCGACCTTTTAATCGGAGAAATGCGGACTTCCGGTTAACGCGAAACACGTGCTGTAAATTTGTTTCATTGTTTGTAAATTCACCAATCAAGTTAGTTTTTCTTAATAGACAGCTAGTGCAAACACAGTTTAACGATCAGGATTATTTAAATAAACCACTTACTAGAAGATTTCATGAAATTCACTTAGTCAGGAAAACACATTATTGTTTAATTAGGAATAAGCTTCTCGATGCATATACGTAAGTGTTACATTATAAGACTTCTAAATTCTTCACACAAGATTGCTAATAGTTCATTTACAACAGTTAAACAAGTTCATTATACGCGAACTGGTGGAAGGGGTTTAAAATGTTTTCTTCCCTTGGGCGGTTATCATCGTTATCATGATTAATTCATCGAGGCATGCCATCACAACGCTACAGATTGATTAATTTATCGAGGCATGCCATCACAACGCCACAGATTAATTAATTTATCAAGGCATGCCCTCACAACGCTACAGATTGATTAATTTATCAAGGCATGTTATCACAACGCTACAGATTGATTAATTTATCAAGGCATGCCATCACAACGCTACAGATTGATTAATTTATCATGGCATGCCCTCCCAACGATTTTAAAATTTACATCACCCAGACGTTTTTTCCTCGCAACGATTTTAAAATTTTCATCACCGAGACGCTTTTTCCTCGCAACGATTTTAAAATTTACATCACCGAGACGCTTTTTCCCTCGGAGTGATGATTGGATATTTTTGTGTTTGTTTATTATGTGTTTTGTTGGGATAACCAGTTCGCGGTATTTTAAACTCTCAAAGTAAATTGTTTTTTTGAAGTAACCAATCACTTAGATCAAGACATCATTTAACATAATGTAAACTCTTTGTTTGAACCGTTGATAAAAAAACCGTTGTGGCAAATATCAATATCCTATAAATTTTGTTAACTTGCAATTTTACCACCTCATAATATATTTCTTAATCTCACAATTTTAACCTCAGTAATTTTATTTGTTGTATAATTTTAATTGAATGTAAATTTCATGTTATTTGTTGTTCAAAATTTCACAAGATTATATAGCGAATTTAAATGTTGTTTATTGCTCGTTGAAACTTTAACACTTGTTCAGTTGTTGTTAATATCCAAGTTATAAGAGATTGAATATTTAAAAATGGAATTGAAGTTGAATGACACAGAAAACGTGGCAGAAGCGAAGTTCGGTTCCTAGTCGAGCTGGCGAGGTTTATCGTGACACCTGTACAAGCCCACAGGTTTGGATAGATTCAGGGGCGGCCGCCGGTTTGTAGTGCTCTCGACTTGGACCAATCGTCGAGATCCATTTGCGGGTATGGCGACCGTAATGGCCTAGTTCCGCAGGGCACGTTCGTAATGGAGATATGCGTGTGGGGTAGGTTTTGTGATAGATAGAATCACCGTCGTGGGGGGAGAACAGCCCCAGACCGGTAGCCCTAAACTCCGCTTATGCTACATCGCCCCATGGGTACTTTTGTTGTGCTCCTGTTAACTGCTGTAACTTAAAAAAAAAAGATCTGCCGCCACACGCTTGTAATAACTTGTATATTATCATCCAGTTACTTGATTCAGTTGTTGCTTTGTTTTATTAAATTTGTGATATTCAAATATTTGCATTGACTCCAAACAGATGTATAGAATTTTGCGTTTGTTCGTTTTTCCTATGTGTATGTCTGTCAATTCGCGAGTGTTTTTCTTTCATATATCTTAAGGTGTTTGAAATGTAATACTTCGGTGAATAAAGCCCTAGGGAGTTTTCGGGAATGAAGACCGATGACGCCTTGGCCCTGCGGAGTCACCAGAAGGGCACGCTGAGTCACTTTCGCTCTTTGTTTCTTTTCCTCCTAAGGAAGGGTGCCATTTCGAAAGAACGTCTTCCCGCTATTTAAAAAAAAAAAACACAACGTAGGTTCCTATTTGTTAAACGACCACAGCCAAGGCCAAACTTTGATTTTTTAAATTTTTCGCGGGCCTTTCAAACTTTTTCAAGGTCG